GCCGATCACCACTGGGACCACCTTGACTGGCTTGTGGCAGTGTTGTTGTTGTTGTTGTTGTTGTACTGGCCGATCACCACTGGGACCACCTTGACTGGCTTGTGGCAGTGTTGTTGTTGTTGTTGTACTGGCCGATCACCACTGGGACCACCTTGACTGGCTTGTGGCAGTGTTGTTGTTGTTGTTGTACTGGCCGATCACCACTGGGACCACCTTGACTGGCTTGTGGCAGTGTTGTTGTTGTTGTTGTACTGGCCGATCACCACTGGGACCACCTTGACTGGCTTGTGGCAGTGTTGTTGTTGTTGTTGTACTGGCCGATCACCACTGGGACCACCTTGACTGGCTTGTGGCAGTGTTGTTGTTGTTGTTGTTGTACTGGCCGATCACCACTGGGACCACCTTGACTGGCTTGTGGCAGTGTTGTTGTTGTTGTTGTACTGGCCGATCACCACTGGGACCACCTTGACTGGCTTGTGGCAGTGTTGTTGTTGTTGTTGTACTGGCCGATCACCACTGGGACCACCTTGACTGGCTTGTGGCAGTGTTGTTGTTGTTGTTGTTGTACTGGCCGATCACCACTGGGACCACCTTGACTGGCTTGTGGCAGTGTTGTTGTTGTTTTTGTTCTACTGTTCTTTCCTCTCTGAAATGAAGCTCAAAGTGTCACAGTTAAATATATATTTATTATTTAATTAAGTGTTTAATTTTTGGCCAATTTTATATAGTGGACGTGGAGGAACGTGGCATACAAACTGGAGAAAAGTCTGCCACGGGAAAGAGGAAGAAGTCCTTCAGCAGAATGGGTAGGTCTGCTCTGAATTATACTTATATCTTTGTTTTTAATATGTGTCCTTACATTACGAGTGTGTCTACACTGTAGGGTTAATGTGTTTGTTACCACTTGAACGGCCATGGCACAATACTTCGGAATCCTGGGAGTTGTAGTTATGTAAGGTCTTCTGCAATCCCATAGTCTTGGGCATGCGGCAGTTCAAGTGGGGTCAGGCTACATTACCTCTAGGATGCCCCTAGGACAGTGGTTCTCAACCTGGGGGTCGCGGCCCCCAGGGGGGTCGCCTGGCCATTTTGGAGGGGTCACGAGGCCACCTCTGTTGGCCCCGCCCCAAGGGTGCAGGCCAGGCGAGGGGTCCTCGGTGTGAGGCCTGACCTCGCACAAAGGCCCCTTGCCCACCTTGCATCGTCGGGACCCCTGAGTGGGTCGCAAGGGGGGTGTTAGACGGGTCACCAAAGACCATCTGTTATACATGGGGTTTTTGTTTGGTAAGTTTGGCTCAATTCTATCATTGGTGGGGTTCAGAATGCTCTTTGATTGTGGGTGAACTATAAATCCCAGCAACTATAGCTCTCAAATGTCAAGGTCTATTTTCACCAAACTCCACCACTGTTCACGTTTGGCCATATTGAGCATTCATGCCAAGTTTGGTCCAAATTGATCATTGTTTGAGTCCACAGTGCTCTCTGGATGTAGGTGAACTACATCTCCCAAACTTGATGCCCATCAAATCCAGTATTTTCTATTAGTAATGGGAGTTCT